GGGGGGGGGGGGGGGGGGGGGGGGGGGGGATGCTTGGGCGGCTGTCTTTTTATATCGCACCACTCCAAAATGGCGATCACTGACGAAAATAGGAAGACGGGGTCTGCTCTTCTAAATGTATGTTTGGGAAGACATTTCCCAATTCCCCCTCACACGGCCACTCCGAGCCGAGAACATAGCCTCAGCCTTCGTTTCTCGTATTGATTCGCTGGGCTTGGGCTTTTTCTCCATAAAATCGTTCATAAGGCTGCATGCGCATTGGACTAGCGGGCGAACGAGCGAATCTGACCACAAAGGTTGTTTTCGGCCCCCACCTCGCTTCTCAGCCCCTCCTATAACGGGCGCGTAAGAATAAATATGAATTCCGTATTTAGACTGGATCAGACTTGGCAGTGTTGAGCAAGTAGATAAGTGAGAAGTGACAAAGCAAGGAATGAAGGAACTAGACTCGGATAAGATGCTTAGCACCTCTCATTCCAAAGTTCTGTGGGGCGAAGTTCAGCTGACACGGGATGACTCTTGACCTGCACCTGAATTATGTACCTCATGGTCTCTATTAACCTGAGGCTGAACAAACTGAATACAATGATACCGTCATATCATTTGTCATATCTGGTTACAGGGTTGAAAGGGTATGTACGCCTGTTATTCAAGACTAAAGCACTTCGTATCCAATAAGCCCGCCCTCCGTTTCACTCCACATTGAACGCCGAAAGAGGAGAAAGAAAACATGCCCCATTCTCCACAGTGAACAAGATTACACACAAAATGTATGAAATCGTCAGACTAGTGGAAGCCGTTACTTGGACCACGTCCAGAGTAGTATGCGGTGCCGTTACGGAAGTAGGGGTGTAGGCAGGCCTGCTTGGCCGATAATCGGTGTGCAGGGTCAAACTCGAGCAGAGACTCCAGGAGCTGACATCCAGCCTCCTCCAGCCCAGGGACGATCTCAACATCGGGACGCTTCCATTTAGGGAAAGTGGGTTTATAATCGGGGAACGAGGTCACACCGGGCCAGACGTCTTCACCAGGCGTACCGAGGATTCTGCGATCTGTTAATACGATTGAACACAGAACGAGAAAAAAGGCCACCCTTACCGGAAGATCTTGAAGATCTCGTCAATCTCAGAGTCGCCGGGGAAGAGAGGCTTGCGTGTACACATCTCTGCGAAAATGGCGCCCACCGACCACATATCAACACCGGTAGAGTACTGACGTCCACCCAGCAGAATCTCCGGAGAACGGTACCACAATGTGACAACCTATAGATTAAGTTTTAGTAAACGAGGAATTGCATCAATGGAATTAAGAATTCAATGCATACCTCGTGAGTGTAGGTGCGAAGAGGAACGCCGAACGCTCTGGCAAGACCGAAATCGGCCAGCTTCAAGTTGCCTTCACGGTCAATCAACAAGTTCTGGGGCTTCAAGTCACGGTGCAAAATTCGGTGGCTATGGCAGTATCGGATGCCCTCAACAAGCTGAGCCATGAATTTCTTGACCATTGCGTCGCCCAGGCCCAGGGTCGCACCCGCCTTGAACCCATCGGGCAAAGGCTTCCCTCGTCCGCCGTCACTGACAGGCAGAGCCTCCATGTATTTCTTAAGGTCGAGATCGAGGAATTCGAAAACAAGGTAGAGCTTGTGGCCGTCGGCGTGGACAATGTTCAGCAGCTGGACAATGTTGGGGTCCTGCATCTCCTTGAGGAGGGAAATCTCGCGGATTGCAGTGCTGGGGACGCCCTCATCTTCGGCTTCGAGGCGAATCTTCTTCAGGGCAACGATACGGTTGGGGTGGTTGAGTTCACGGGCCTTGTAGACCACACCGTAAGTGCCTACAGAGCATCGACGCGTGAGTTGGGCTGTAGGTAATAACAATCTCGTCGAAAGTGCATACCTTCGCCAATTTTCTCAATTTTCTGATAGTTATCCATGGTAGCCGGCATCCGATCTTTTCCTGCTGTTAATGAGATTAACCGTTTCAAAATAGAGAGGCCCGAATGAGGATTTGGCACAGATTGGAGGGATACTGCCAAGAAGAATTTGTAGAGGAAGCAAGGAGAGGAGATAGCCGCTACTTACATCCGAGGATATTGATCTCTGAGAACAGCTGGAGCAGCACGCTCTCCAAATTCCACCTGGAAATTGAAAAAAGTTAATTTGTTGAAGAGACGATTGACAAAAAGACAGTATTTCAATGGTGGGGAGAGAAAGGCTCAAAACAAACAACCCCCGCGATCATAGGGCGGTGAAGCGCGTACCATTTCTTTCCTTGTTCAACTTTCTGACTTCATCTTTCTGCAATGGCGCAAATTAAGGGTCTTAGTGCTTACGATCGCCCTCCTGATCCAGTGAGACTGTGCTACAAGAAATACTCTAAAATTGCCTTGTCCGAAGTTGACAATGATCCGGGAATCCTCGACCTGCAACGGATCGATCCCGACCAACTGCCCGACGGGGTGACGATCACGCAGTATATGTCCAGCCAGGATCTGCGATTGGCGTTTGATGATTTCTTTCGTGGGAGCCATGCCTCAACAGACATGGATACGTCTTTGACTGAGGATATTCCAGTATTCGCTCATAAATCGATTTCCGGTTAGCATTGTATCGCCTCAATTTGGAACTGACCCAGCAGGACAAAGAGCTATGCCTGACCACCTGACAGGTCTCCTGATGATTCCCGCTTTGTTTCCTCCTACTATCCAGATCGAACTGATCTCTCGCCTATTTCACCGAGACTTACCCAACCCGGAGCATCAGACAAACCTACACCTGCACTACGATGTTACGTACCCCGAAAAATCAGAAGCCACCCACATGCCCAAGTCGTTCTTTGCAGACGATCCCACTCGGACTTTCCAGCCCAAAGAGCCCGAGGTGCACAAGCCTTTGACAGTTCAAAATTTCCTAGAGAAAAAGCTGCGCTGGGTGACATTGGGTGGACAGTACGACTGGACCGCCAAAGTATACCCATCTGGGCCCCCACCGGAGTTTCCGTCGGATATTGCAAAGGTTCTACGCGCGGCCTTTCCGGCCACCTCAGCCCAGGCTGCCATTTTGAACCTCTATTCGGCCGGAGATACACTGAGCGTGCACCGGGACGTGAGTGAGGAGTGTGACGTAGGTTTGATAAGCGTGAGTTTTGGATGTGACGGACTGTTCTTGGCTAGCCACGACGACGGGAATGGCTGTGAGATCATTCGGCTTCGCTCAGGCGATACTGTCTACATGAGCGGCAAATCGCGGTTCGCCTGGCATGGAGTCCCGAAGATTCTGCCCTCGACCTGCCCGAAATGGTTGGCCAACTGGCCATCATTTAGAGCATCTGCCCCGGGAATGCCGCCTGGCCCATACGAGATGTGGAATGGTTGGATGTCTAGCAAACGGATCAACCTGAACGTTCGACAAATGACGGCCACACAGGCTTCCGAGGAGAGAGCCGATCAAGTTTGAAAATGGGAAATCCAGATGTCAGTAAAATCAGTTTCTCTGCTTGGCCCAAACATGGACAACGGTCTATCGTGACCTACTCAAGCACAGATACAGTCACCCTGTTCCAATAAGTCTGGTCAACTTTCCCAGTAAGGCATTTCGTGTTTTTGTTGGAGAGCACGGCGTGCGGACTGTATTTCCGCGACCCCTAGGGGATAACAAGCAGCGACCACCTAGACGAATCAATTGCACTTAAATAGAGCGAATAATATGGCCATCTCTGCAGTACTCCAAATTAAAGACGGTAATGCGCCCAAGGAGTGGCCGATAAGCTAGCCTCCAACTGTGTCGCGTTCAATGACCCCAATAACCCCGCACCCTTCTGATAGAGTATGTACTCTTCGCGGATCTTACAACATCTCGACGAACATCTCTAATTCACAATGACTGGCACATCCTGGCAACTGAAAGGCGAAGTCAAACGCCAGTCAATTCTAAATGCTATCCCCGAGAAATGGCGACTGGATTATCCTGTCCCTCCCGCCACAGAACTACGTGATGTTACAGGGGATTATATTCGACGATACCTCACCGAGCACGAGATTAATATCACAGAGACAGATGCCGTAGACATTGTGGCCGAGACATCTACAGGCCGCTGGTCAGCTCTCGAAGTGACAGAAGCCTTCTGTCACCGGGCTGCAGTGGCCCACCAACTTGTACGTTTTATATACTTACAGCGCGTGCACAAGAATGTATCGACCCAATACCTAATAACTAAGCATATAACGTAATCTAGGTCAATTGTCTCCACGAGGTGTTTTTCGAAGCAGCAATCAAAGATGCCAAAAGGCAAGACGAATACTTCGCAAAGCACAAAACCCCGATAGGACCCCTGCATGGCCTACCAGTGAGCCTAAAAGACCAGTTTCACGTGAAAGGCGTCGAAACCACAATGGGCTACGTAGGCTGGATAAACACCTTCCAAGGCCAACAGAACGACCCTCGCAGCGGCACAGAAGAAAGCGAACTCGTCCGCGAACTACGCAATCTCGGCGCAATATTGTACTGCAAGACCAGCGTGCCAGCCACCCTAATGGTCGGCGAAACCATGAACAACATCATCGGCTACACCTGGAACCCCAAGAACCGCCTGTTATCCAGCGGTGGCAGCTCTGGCGGCGAGGGCGCCCTGATTGCGCTCCGCGGCTCGCCTGCTGGCTTTGGCACTGATATCGGAGGCAGTGTGCGCATCCCTGCTGGGTTCAATTCCCTCTATGGGATTCGTCCTTCGGCGGGCAGGATTCCTTACCAAGGCGCTGCAAACTCGTTAGATGGCCAGGGCTCTATTCTGTCCGTTATCGGGCCGATTGCGCCAACTGTGAGGTCTTTGACGTTCTTGTTTAAGGCTATTATTGGTCAGGAGCCTTGGTTGCATGATCCGCTTGCGTTGGAGCTGCCATGGCGGGATGAGGTTGTTCGGGAGACTAAGGCTCTGATTGAGAAGGCTCGCGGTGGGGCGTCGATGCTTGCTTTCGGCATTATGAAATATGATGGTATGGCACTTGTTCATCCGCCTATTGCGCGGGGGCTCAGGATCGTTGAGAGAACGCTACGGCGGTTGGGTCACCGGGTTGTTGAGTGGACACCTCCTTCTCACTCAATTGCCAATGAACTACTTGTATGTGCCTGTGGCCATTGCGTTTTGGTGGGATTCAGCACGTTGCTAACCTGTGGAAGGGTAAGATATTCAACATGGACGGCGGCGCAGACCTGAAGTATCATCTAGGTCTATCTGGAGAACCTAAAGCTCCGGAAATAGTCTGTACCGAAAATGGTATTCAACTGAAAGCATCAGAGATTTCGGCGCTCAATGTCGCGAAGCGTGAGTATCAGAAACAGTACATGGACTACTGGCATAGCACAGCCGAAGTGACAGGCACAGGGCGCCCTGTTGATGCGCTCTTCTGTCCATTGGCACCTCATGCGGCAGTCATTCCCAGCGAATTCAAGTCTGTGGGATATACTGGGTTTGTGAATGTGCTTGACTATACTAGTCTTGCGATTCCAGTCACATTTGCGGATAAGAAGATCGATGTGCGCTCGGCTGATGGGTCTGTGGATGATTCCGAGCACATTCAATGGGATTGTGAGTTCCCCCCATGCCTTCACCCTCGTGGTTTCATGCTGATCGCTATATAGACGATGCCGAGGCGTACGATGGGGCCCCGGTGGGAGTGCAATTGGTAGGCAGGAGGTTGCAGGAAGAGAAGATGTTGACTCTAGCTGAGTATTTAGGGGAGGAGATTGCTCGAGATACGGAAGAGAGAGTCTGAGTCGCAAATACAGACTCATCACGTCACTGTAACAGGACACCTGAGCATCAACTACGATTAGGATGACCAATTGGGTTTTCGTATGGGTATTAATGACCATGCTATTCTCTATTAAGAGTAGTAAATCCAGGAGCAGAGGGGGCAGACCAGGCCACCTACTGCCCAAGCGAATGCAGAGTATAAATAATAGCCCCCGGGCGCCTTGTCCGGTGCATTTCAAAAGATATTACATTCCAAAATCAGTCAATTCCTAGACGAAGATGACGGAGGCGTCTGTCCCGAGGGTGCGGCAAGATTGGATAAATGGGGCGTGGAAGATCCCCAAGGTTTACCAGCTGCAGAAGGCGGAGCATGACCAGACTCGGACGAAGATGGATCTTCTGAGCCATTCATGAGGCGCTGTCGCTTAGCCGGAGGCAGCCCACCTACCTGGGGCATGCTACTGGGTAGGGGGCCGCTGGGCGGGCTGCGGGGATCTGCAAAGGAGTGGGGTGAAGCGTAGTGGGTGGATGAAGCAGGGGTGGAGGTAGCCGCAACGTCTGGGCTCAAAGCCGTAGCAGATTGCAAGGGGCGCAAGCGATTTGGATGAGAGGTGGTGTCTTCGCCTGGGCGTGGAGGCCGGACATCGGGGCTTTGCTGAAACTGACTCTTATCTGAATCCCCCAGCTGACTGGGGTTTCCATAACCAACCCCAATCCGGCCCATGCCCTTATCGTGCATAACAACCCGTCTCCATTTGGCGACCACGCTGTCGTAATCCCATCTTGAAGAGTCGGCACTGATATGGCTTTCTTGTGCGTCCAATTCCCGCGCTACCTCCCGTGGTAGGGGGAGCGTATCCGGGGGAAACAGTGCGAACTCGCGAGGCCACTGGCACGATCCGAGGCGCTCGACCTGCGCACGCAGCTGGTCTGCTTCCTGTTGCACTCGAGCGAGTTGTTCGTCTGAGGACTTGCGCTTCTCTGCCTCCCGCGCAAATGCTCGCGTGATCTCCAATTGCCACGCGTCGCGTCTGGTCTCGTGGGACAGAGTATTCCAGTGATTGAAGGCCAATTCTAAGTGTCGAAAGCTGATCTCCTCGTGCTGTTGTGCGCTCCGGTATATCATGTTCGGATCCATCCCGCTATTCCCATGTCGCGTGTGAGTTGCAGGAGTGGAGTCTGCTGCGAGTTGGTCGGTCTGCCATTGTGCGACCTTGGAGCGAAGGGCTTGGCGGATAATATCGAGATGCTCCGCACCGGGGGCCTGGAGCGGAAACGAGGTAGAGGAGGGAAACGGATGTGTCGCAAAAAGGCTTGGTGGGGGAGGGAGCAGCTGCAGACACATGGAGGGAAAAGTTTGAGCTTGCATGTCGAAGTCGAACGGAGACAGGCGAGGCCGGACACGAGATCTAATGTTTCGTTAGCTTGGGGGTTATATATAACGATGGGAATGAGCCGGCATACGTTGCAGCTTTGATATTATCGAGCACCTCGCGCAGTGCGAGCTCCAGTGCCCGCATCGTATCCGGGTTGCTGGAGCTAGCACCTCTACTTGCGTAGTCTGGCAGTTGCAACGACGTTGTCCGAGACTGTGAAGGCGTCATGCGAGGCCCATCCGGCATGCGACTGGGATTGGGGATATCGTTGATAACCCCAGTCGCATGCCAAGTGGGTGTGTTGAACATCATGCGCACCGGCGCCTCGCGCGACTTCGATCCCGAGTCCGCGGCTGTAAATAACTCTGAGGTACCCTTTTTCTGGACTCGTTCAGGACTGCCCTCGTTCTTCCCAGTGGATGTTCGGGCCTGGCGCCTGGTGATTCCACTGCGAATTCGTCTGATCTCCTCGACATCGTGGATACCGTCAGGTTTCTTCTTAAAAAGGAATTGGTCGAGGTGTCGACCCAATGACGATGATGTAAATGCCTGTTGGCAGTACTGGCATTTGCGATCCTTTGTAGCAAGACTGGTCTTCGACTCGTCACCGGCAGTCGAGCCTTCGGGGGTATCTCTGGAGGTTTCTGTTTCTTCCTTCATGGTCGGGGAGTAGAAAAATGAGGTGAATGGATTAGAAAGAAAGCTCTTGGGCTTAAAACTGACATATGAATAGTGCGCTGGGAAGCAGCAAGGTTGGTATTGGTAAAATTCAACGCGCAAGACGAGAAGGAGAAGACGGAAAAATGCCAAGCTTTTGGGCGCGGAGCTGCGCGATGAGCAATTCCGTAAGTCAAGGCACATGGAGATTTATCTATGTCGGACTTATTGATCTCTGATGAATTATCTATCATGTGTAACCGTTTCAATGCTACCTATACAAGTATTAGGTAGTCTCTGCGATGTAACTAGGCCCTCCGTCAAGGACTGAGCATAATCGATGTGACTGCCTAAGTGCATATAGTACTTTGAGTAAATCGAAATCAAGAACCGCCATAATCATATACTTGCTGTGAGGATAGAGCCCGAACGTCCTCGACTATATTAGGTCTCGGACATTATGTTGAGTCAATGGCACACGATGCACCCGTAGACTCATGCACATGGAAGACACAGTGTAACCACGTTCAAGAACGGCCTTTGCCCTTTCTCGCCTTACGCGCACTGAACCAGCGCTTCATGTTGTTAAAACCGTGCAAATACAACCAGGAGAAGGCGAAAACAAGAGCAAAGTTGAAGATGATATACGCCCAGAGGATTCCCTAATAGATGTCAGATTAATTTGGCCTCTTACTTTACTTTAGCCGAAGGGGTACAAATCAAGATACTCACATAATCTCTCCACTTGTGCGAGTAAAAGACATTGAGGCTCTTAGACTGGAAAGTGTGACAAAGTTCTGGTCAGCCATACTCCAAGTCTGCTAATCAAGATATTCAAACAAAGACGATCATGATGCTGCGCAACTCACATATTGATTACCGGTCGAGTATTGACAGTATGAGCACATTCCATTCCCAGCGTCTCGGACATATCCACCAGCCTTTTCAGCGTAAGGTCCAGCATAATCTTGACAGCTCATGCCAGCTGGAGTGCTAAAGCGGGATTCTTCACGCTCAACACAGCGTACGGGGACATTATGGGTGATGACTCCAACAAATCCCTCAAGTAGATAGTGGAAAGGCGTAAGCCAGTACATCCATGACTGCCAAAAATGCGGCATTGCGATATAAGGGACGACAACACCGCAGAAGGAGGCAATAAATGTAAAGAAAGTCGGCACAAGCAAACTTGCGAATAGCTCATTGGGTGCAAGTGCGGCTATGAATTGACCCAGTCCAATATAGTATACTTCGAACAACATCAGCGACATCCAAACATAGCCGGAACTGAACGAGTCGCGTGGAAACCAAGTTCCCCAGTACCTTGATATCGCTGTCAGAAGTACGAGATAAATTCCTTCTTGAGAGACGCTTACCAGCAGTTAAAGTAAAGTGACCCGGCAACAATCGAGTATGGCAGTTCTGGGATAATTGTGCTTGTCACAAAGGCAGGCCAGGAGTAGATCTTGGAGTTAGCTTCGCGGGATTCATAAAGGCCTCGAAAATGGAGATAACGCGGTTGGAGCTGCTGTATCAGCGGCGGAGCTATAATCAATGTCATGAAGACACAGAAGACTCGTGATTGCATGTCAATGAAGCTATTTCCCAGATGCCAGAATGTGAAGGTGTTAAAAAGGCCGGTAAATATGTGGAGCATCAGTTTACCCTGTGTAATAATTAGCCAAGTGATTCATTCAGGTTTGGTGTTCGAGATCTAATGACTCACAAGGATGTAGTCCGGGGTCCTCCAGTAAGCCACGAATGCGCGCTTGGTAACCGCGGCCACTTGAACATAGAGAGGCATTGCATACTCGCGATCGTCGGTAGTCTTCTCGTCATTTTGAGCATTCCTACGGGAGGCGACGATACCTTGCAGTTCCTCAGAAAGCTGCTTGGATTCTGGTGAGTTCGCCCACACATTCGCCCAGTCCTGCCCCTTATGATCAGGATTTCCAGCCCCGATGACTTCCAACATATACTAGAGAAGACATTAGTGAGAAACAATGACCCCAGATTCGGAATACACACCTCTGCCGGATTTTCATGCGGTGAGCACTTCCTCCCGCCATTTTGTTCAAAGTAATGGATCAGCGTCTTGGAGTCATTCCCAAGAGGCCCATTGTAAACAACCCTTCCACCGCTTTTCAGAAGCAAGAGCTCATCAAAGTGCTCAAACAACACAGCAGAAGGTTGATGGATTGTACAGAGAACCGCTTGGCCAGCATCTGCAAGTTGGCGAAGGAACCGTAGAATGTTGAACGCGCCAAGAGAATCGAGGCCGGACGTGGGTTCGTCCAGGAAAAGCAACAGCTCCGGTCTACTCGCCAGTTCCACTGCAATGGTGAGTCGTTTGCGCTGCTCTTGGTTCAGGCCTGAGCCCGCGGATCCAACAGTTGCGCCAGCGACAGGCCGCATCTCTAACAAGTCAATGATTGTCTCACAGTAATCATACTTTTCTTGTAATGGGACTTCTTTTGGTTGTCGTAGCAGAGCAGAAAACCGAAGAGACTCCCGCACCGTAGCAGTTGGTTCGTGAATGTCCATCTGCTCGGCGAATCCGGTCGCTCTCTGGAAGCTCCTTGAGAGACGCCTGAAAATGTTAGAGCGCATGATTAACGAAATATGTCAAAATTTCCTACCTTCCATCCACTAGGAAGTCGCCAGTGATCACGCCAAAATTGATTCGCTGTGCTAGCGCATTGAGCAAGGTGGTTTTCCTAGTCAGATATTAGCATCATGAACAGAGTCAACCTCGTTGTCTGTCTTACCCTGAGCCAGAAGCACCCATCAACGCAGTCAGCCGACCAGGCTTCACATATCCTTCAACATTTTGCAATAATTGTCTCTGGCCACCCTTGTATGGAATCGTGTAGTTGACGTCTTGCCATGTAAAGATTGCAGTGTTTTTAGCAATGTCTTGGACCTTGTCCCTGGATACACTTGTGTCGCCGTCAGCTTTGTTGGATGCTATGCCATCCTTCTCCGCGGATTCCTCATCTCCTCGGGGGCCGGATTGTTTTATGACATCTTGGACTGCTTTGGGGGCTTCACTTCTTTTAAACACCGTGACCGCGCTGCCACCCTTATTAGGTCTCTGCAATTCCGTTCCCAACATTGTTAAACAAACGAAAAAGATGAGCCATCCCATAATGATGCCGAAATTTCGCCATAGGTGAGCTCTGCTGTATGTGAATGCCGTTTGTATATACTTGGAACCGTCCACAATCAACTGGTCTGGATCACTGCCTTGAATTGCACAGGATTGGTGACCGGGTACAGCGTTGGGTCCACCAGGCGCAATGTAGGGTGGTTCACATTTTATTTGAAGGTTGTAGAACTCATTAGCCATCAACGCCTCAAATGCGTATTGGACAGGGTTGATCCAAATGATCCATTTTAACCACGGGTGCATTTTCCACGGAGGGATGAGATAGCCTGAATTATGTTGGCCATTAAACTCGGTTACTAGGTTTCATTGTACTGGGCTCACCTGTGTACACAACCAATGCCTGTACGGCCACACCAGTGAGACGTGTGGCTATATACCGTTATTTGAGATTCTCTGATGGCGAGGGATTTATTTCACTTACCAACATCCAATGAGGAGCATAGAGTCCCAAGGGCACGAAAGAATGAGTACATGGTCATTGTGAGAATGAAAAGAATAAGCAGGTTTATGAAGAACTGTGAAGGAGTTCGTGCAAGGTTTGCCATGCTAAATCACTCATCAGTTTAATTCATGTGAAGTACCCAATCGGACTCACAAGTATACTATGATATCAAATAGAAAGACTTGTATGAACACAAGAGGCACATCAACCACAACTTGGGCGAGCGCATACGCCGCAGGCCGATAGAAAGAGCTGGAGAAAATTAGTCCTGCCATTTTCCCTTTCCTTCTCTGTAGTGCTCACAAGCTTTTATGTTTCATCAGTATTGGTCGACTCTCAAATGCTGCCGTCAGCTCTGCCATAGCAAGCAATGCATTGAAAAGCAGCATAAAGAACATCACGCCACCCCTCGTAAAAACGCCATTGCTTGAAACTGTGAGCCACACAGAGTCTCGTCACGTATGAAGGGGCAATAGCTTACCTTGTATCCGGGAGGTTGTAAAACAAACTGCCAGTAATGAGGGCTTGAAAAGTTATCACACTCCACTTCGCAATCAATGACTCTCTGTCACCAAACATTACCAGAAACTGACGATATGTGAGAGTCATGACCTGCTTGTAGAATGAGATCGTGAAGTTTTTCCGTTTGGCTTTCCTTCTTGCAGCCTCTCTCTCCTGCTTCTGGCCTTCGATATCGCCCTCAAAGCTTTCAACGTCCGCCAGGTTTCTTTTGTAAGTATCACTTTTGCGATATTGAGCTTGAAATTCAGCTGCATTTCGAGGGATTCGGTCATGGCAGCTATCCTTAACACGTCTTGCATGAGGATCACTGACAGAAGTCAAAAAGTCGGGGGTCGTCCAACGTGGGGGGCATTCAAAGCCCAACCCTTCGAAGTAGGCCTTTGCATCTTGGATAGGTCCGAAGAAAGAGCATTTTCCATCTTCTATCAGAATCACCTTGTCGAAAAGTTCAAATAGACTCTCCGAGGCTTGGTAGAGAGCTACGATCGTTGAGACGTTGGCGGTGTTCGTTAGACTTCGCAAGCTTTGAACATACTCCAGCGCCGTACTGGCATCCAAGCCCTTGGTAGAGTTGTCCCAGCACTGGGTGCTAGCCTTTGTAACCATGGCTTCAGCAATTGAGGTTCTTTTCTTTTCGCCCCCGGAAATTCCGCGAATTAGTTCGTTCCCGACTTTGGTTCCCAGTGCATGTTCAATCCAGAACAGCTTAGCTATAGCAGACAAGAAGGTCTGCTGATATTCCTTTCGGCTTTCTCCCGGAATTCGTGAGGCTTTGTCGGGAGTTCGGGATTTCAAGGCAAAAAGCAGTGTATCTCGCACAGTCAGAGTTGCATAATGGAGATCATCCTCAGGGTTGTATAAGACTGGTAGTTTTAGTTCAGAATCATGATCACATAGGACAGGAACACACCTTCAGACCTATACTGCTTTGCCATCTTTTCTGCATCGGTGCCGCCATACCGCACAGCGCCTTCAATGCTTTCGTAGCCCGCTCGTTGATTGCCGAGCACTTTCAAGAAAGTGGAACAACCAGAGCCAGGGCGGCCCAGAACCAGAAGCATCTCCCCCGGACGAACACAGCCCTTGATGAAGAATCAGCCAAGTTGATCCCTGGCACTGAGAAATAGACTTACAGTGAAATCATCTAAGATAGTCCGTATCGGTGTTTCTCCACCCCCGGAGCCTTTCCTCCCTCGAGTGAATAGTTGTTTGATGAGTCGCGGTAACCCGAGAAAGATGTCCCCATTGGTAGGCTGGAGAGCAGCCCCAAGTCCCACGCCCTTCACGGTCAGGCTTTTCCATACAACTCCAAGATGACGTGTTTTCTCTTCTTCGGAATTTGCTTTGCGCTTAGGACCGAACATCCGTGAGATCATTCCATCTATCTGGGCCCATTCCTCTCCTTTGGGACCATCACCAGAGCCATGGGTGCGTCGACGAGATAATGTACGTGCGGCATCATCCTCATCTGACTTCGGCCCTGTAGAATCTGGCTGGGAGTGCAACGGAGTAGTGCGAGTTGGCGCGTAATCTGCGGGTCGAGGCGAACTGACTGGCGAAGATGCATTCTCATAAGAATCAGAATTGCGAGGAATATGTTCTGGGTTTGCGCCTAACGTGGACTCGCTTTCCTCGAAATACTCGTTTGCCATCGTCGTTGTTTCCAGGTTGAGCCGAGACCTTTTGAAATGCAGATGTTTAATCCAAATTTCTGTGGTACGCGCTCATGAGACAAGGTGATACCAGATGACCATGGGTAAATATATAGCGGAACACCTCAGCTAGCGACGGGAAATACAAACAGAATCACTCAGCCTGGATATCATGAATGTCAAGGGAATGAAGTTGAGAATCGTCGGCATGTAGGCATTACGTCAAGCAGACTCCGGGGATCGGAACAGGAACGAACCGAAATATTATTCAGGGCTTTCGTTATTCCCTTATTTTTATAGCTGAGAAGTATGTAATAGGTATAACCTTGTCTAGTGAGGTCATCGCATCCAGCTCAGTTCTATCGTGCGGTTCTTAGCCTCTTTCTGGTCCTATTCGAAGCGATGATACCAACCATGAACTTCGACTAAACGAGAATAATTAACTGTTTCTTTTAATCTAGTAAAGTTCCAGGCCGTCGCTAAAGACGTGCGATGCATACAAATCCCTGCGTTCCACGTTCTCTATCTCCGATCACGAAGTCATTGATTGTACAACAAGGATACATACCTAGGTATGTTCATGGGTTATGTATATAGGTAATTAGTCATTTTGGAAGCCCTTGACTCTAAGCCTCGCATCCCTATTTGTCGGCTTATTGGTTTTAATTATTCTCTCTGTACTGCATTTTCTCATGTCTATTAGTATGATCGCCGTGGCTGTTTTCTATTGAACAAGAAGCTTTATTACGATTCAAATTTATTCCTTTCTTTGATATGTTTATTGCTTTTTGCTCTGTTTCGTCTGTTTTGTTTACGCAATCCTAAATTGTAAAAAGTTAAAGTGTATACGCGCCAGCATCTAGGCAATGATATTCAAGTTGATAAACCCGTGGAGGTCGCCTTCTTTCGACTAACGCAGGTAAACTCGCTCAATTATTTGTTTTCAAGTTGTTCACGTAGGATTTATAACTTTTATTTTGAGATAAAGCAGTTCATGCTCGGGGACAGAATGAGTGGTGCTCAATATTACCTACCTACCTAATCAGGAATATATAGACATCCACGGAATTGACTTCCGACGACCTTTACCAACTCATTTTACTACGGCACAAGAAAACTCCGGTCCTGTTAGTCTACCAAATGGTCACGACTAAAGTAATTTTACTATCATTATCTCGTCATTCTGGAAAAAGATAGGTACGTATATAAGACAAATCTGTTGAATACAGATAAGCTAGAGCTGGGAGAACAGTTCGTAAGTAAAATACCCCACAAAATGGCCCAGAATTAGGCGAAATACAGTTAAAAAAACATTTAATCAGCTCTCGGTCACTAGAAGGCTTACGATGGTTCACTGGGTTGAGCACGAAGTAGCATGAACGGACCATCGTTCCCTGATCAGAAATGGGCAGCACGCCATGATTACAACATACTAATCTCGGCTTTAGTAGTGATAAAGCTCTAGACTCCAGTCTGAAGGTAGGTCAGGTGTACCTCTCAGCCTAGAAATCATTTTGGCTCTTGTGCATTTCTCTGATTGCAACTCTGATAGCAATGAAGCCCCATCGTGCCCACAGATTCCTCCGGAAGGTATTGGAATTTTTCCATCTATCCACCTCCTCATCCAAGCGTGCAGCTAAATCTCGCAGCAAGTAGGTCTCCAAATTTTTGTAGTATTGATTGCCTCAAAATAACGAGTCGTTCAGTGCTAAGCTGTGGTGTGTTACTACCACCACACCTACACCTCCTCACCACAGCATTTCCGCTGCCCGAGGATATGACTATGTTGAAGGGTATGCTCAAGATGAAGATCCTCCTCAGTATACCTTGGGAAGTGGCGCCCTTGAAAAGCCAATTTCGACCCGCAGCCAACTAGAGTGTCGCATTGTGAAACTCTGGAAGAAAGTCTGGCTAGGTCTTTATCAGATCGATGACAACGAGGATCGATACCATGTCGAGCGACTCGAAGCACTTTCTCTCGGGGCCGGCTTGACTCGCACTTACCGAGTTGGCGAGCTTCAAGTTCTCAGGCGTCATTTCCTTCGAAGCGAGACAAACAATGGCATTGCTTCATTGAAGCTTTTCCAGGGTCTGTCTCTTTCGACCCTACTATCTGTGATCCACATTCTGGAGGCCTATGAAAGTGAAATTGACAACTTGAGGCTGCTCTATTCCATCTTGCGAAGTGGTCAGCTTGCACTGCATGAGACTGTTGACCCTGCAAAAACTGCTGTTGTCAGAACTGAGTATATGGCAATTGCGGAGCCGATGGAGAAACGGATCAGACAGTATGATATTCGAATGAATGTGTTGAATATGGACATCTGCGATGAGGCAATGGGCTTCTATGAGCGACAAAAGGGGGAATATATTTACCACAAGGCATTCCCAAATGCGTGGTAAGAACGCGACTTCTTGGATTCATCCGTGCCCCCTTCCATTGTGACTCGTATTGGGGGACCTTTGAGTACGATCAGTACGGTTTGGATCAAGTACGAGTTCAGCGTCTTGTTTAAGTAATAGTTATAATTATGGTGTTATTGAAACCTTGTAAAGTCGTGCAAGGAGCAAATCTGCAACGGTTAAACAATATCGCAGAGCTGCTTGGTTGATTCAGATATCTGTCTCGACCAGCAATGAGGATTCCCTTTCGAAAGGAATACTTGTTGGATCATCCCATTCTTCATAGATGAGATGCCTTGTTTTTTAGACTGAGTCTTTCTCGTTTTCCTATTTGTGGCCTTTATGGAGGCCTTGCTCTTAATAGATTGAATGCAGCAGATTCTTCTTCCTGATTTCCCCCTAATTGCCTAATTCTCGTAGCCTCAACAATATTGAAAGGTATGAGAGGGAACCTGCCTAGTGGGAAGGTGTGTCGGAACGTGCCATCGGGAAACTGATGGGCTCGTGTCATACGTGTCGGCCCGCTTTCTGAGGTTACTACCTAGCAGAAATTGTAGTGCCTCGGGTCCCTGTTGTGCTCGGCACTGGTGCTCCTAGGTGGCACCCTTTGCATTGTCTCTGGGCGAAGTAGGCAATTTTGAGGGTGAGGAATCTCATAAACCATGGCAGCCGTCATCGGAATCGTTACCGCTGGGACACCTAATCATATCGAGGGAAGTCGGAATAAGATGTAAACAAGTCCTGTAATCGGCAACCACTCATCGGTTGCTGCACGACTGGTAACGAAAGAACAAGGAGTATCTTCCACTGAATGCTGAAATTATTCTCGAGATACGCCTATGTAGTGCGGATATGGATTCCCCATAGTCGGTTAACAAACCAAGGGATAGGAAATTCATGGTGAGATACTGTTTGCAGCAAGTAGAGATACCGATCGTCTTCATCCACCGGAGTCAACGTACGTGTGAGGGTAATGCATTGCTGATATATAGGGTAAAACCCACTGTCCTCCCAGTCAATGATTCGGTAATTCCATAGTGGCCGGTGGTATAATCTTGTTTTACGATGATGTTGGCGGTCCTAATATCGCCATGCGTGAAAACTGGGTTCAGCATCAAAGAGTCATCATGTTCTAGGAGAGAGCGAAGAAGATTTCCATCCTTGCCATCATAGGATATCACTCCTTTGAAAGACTTATTTTGGTTCGTGATCGCCCGAAAAGGACCTGGTCTGGCCTTTGGCTTTGTGTCAAAGGGATAGGTGGTCTCATTGGCCGTGGCTGGCTACTCGCCGAACGATGTGGTAGGGCTATTTGTGCGGATACGAAATAGCGGTCGCTGTCAGGACCTGTCTCCGTTTCCATATTTGTGAGGATAGCCTAATGTCCCTGTCTGGTTGGGGCCAGGTGCCTCCCTTAGTTGGTTTCGGACAGTGGCCTGGAAAATCTTGTTCTGTTCCCTGATCAAAATAGTATTGTTGGTGTACCAATGTGGCTAAGTGTTGAAATCGCAGTTAGCGAATTGAATGTCCTAGTGAACAATAATGGATAGGCTCACTTGTCCAACTGCAGCTTGTGTCGCTTTTCTAGCCGCAGTCTGAGCTTTCATAGCCTAATCATTGGTCCCTAGCTTGGCCATAATAGATAAAGTGCGAACAGGCACGATATAAACAACAAAAGCTGATATATATTGCTTTATCAAATGCCCAACCAAATGACGATAGATCGTATAAATCACGGCTTTCGTGCGCTAAGGACCTGCAGAATCAATGCACGAAGATCTTCTGAGACTTATTTGTCTTTTCGAGAATATTCCAGCATCTATATTTGGCCTTGATAGGATGTGGGAACAATTTCCTGTCCTAAGACGGCCCTTACACCACAACGAAAGGTCACTGAGGATCCCGAGCCCCAGATCCATACCTTTGTTCTTCCCTAGACGGACGATTTAGCTTATTATACTTCTGAGACTATATCAACAAGGTGAACAAGCTTCTCTCTAGGTCTCGATAAGCATGCTTCAATAAACGATGCATCCGCGCTCGCGCAGTTACCTAACCTCCTGGGATTACCATCTGCCCTATTTCCGCCGCCCGTTTTCTATATTTGAGTGCACTAGTCAGGGAGGTCATTACCTGACATGTCAATCCGACGGAGAACCATACAACCTTGCGTCCTGGATGATGGCTATGATGTGTGCAGGGATTTGGTACGTCATCTCGATGTCATTGTAGGCAACTTTTGCTATGTGAAATATCCCAAATATAAAAGACCAGGGAAATTACAAGTTACCCTTGCCAATGATTTGTGGCAATTTCCCGATCTATCCTACATCCTATTACAATGCCTCCTAAGAAAGTTCTCATTATCCTCAGCGACGCACACTCCTTCCCCCTGAAAAGGACCAGCGGACGCGATGCTGGCAAGGTTGTCGAGCAACCTTCGGGGTTCTTCCTCCAGGAGCTCGCAAAGCCGTTACACAAAATACTCAGTGCAGGCCACGAGGTGACATTCGCCTCACCCAAAGGTCTTGAACCCGCCCCAGACCCGAGCAGCGAATCGCTCATCGCAAATGCCGGCAGCTTCTACGAACGTCAACGCGGAAACGATCTCATCGAACGCATGAAACGTGAGAACGGATTCAGTAGCCCGCGACCATTCAGCACCATTAGCGACGATGAGTTGACCACATTTGCGGCTGTCTTCATCCCCGGTGGACACGCACCGCTTCAAGATCTGGGAGGTGATGCAGAACTGGGGCGCATTCTGCGTCACTTCCATCAGGAGAACAAGCCAACTGCGGTGATCTGCCACGGGCCTTACGCCCTGCTGAGTACGAAGAAGGCGGGAGATGGCTCGTTTGTTTATCATGGGTATAAAATCACGTCGTGGAGCGATGCGGAAGAGAATCTTATGGAGACACTATGGGGAGGGGAGGTCGAGAAAGTCGAGTCGACCTTGAGAAACGAAGGCGCAGTGATGGTTGAGGGTGTTCGTGAAAAGACTGGCGGTACTACGTTGCATCGGGAGCTGGTCTCTGCGGGTAATCCTGTGGCGGCAAACGCCCTTGGTGATCGTTTCGTGAGAATGATCAGTGTATAGTATCTTGCTTTTTCATTTGCGATCGAGTCCGGAAAAAATGTAAATGTCTCGACGTTTTTCCTTCGCAGAATCTAGCGGATGTGAACTATAGGTAAGCTTCCTTGCGAGCTATAAGTTCGGGCACGAAGTGATAGGGATACTTGATCTTATCGGCTGGCTATCTATAAAGCTGTACATCCAGGTGTCTGCAGTTTCTCCGGATGCGTCATCATTAAGCTTAGGCCTATAATCAGGTTCCATGACTCTCATTGGAAACGTAAGGGTAAGCTTGGTACAACTGTGTGGAAAGAAGTCCGAAAATTAGAATGATGTAACAATGAAAGCACCCAGAGATCGGGAGGTCATACACTGCTCTGGTTCACTGAATTCAAGTCTCCCTCATTGTTATTCCCAGTATACATTGCTTGAAGCCCACCTATTTACTAGCCCCAAGTTATTTGGAACCTTGAGTATGAGCTTTATCCGCCGTTCGTTTCTACATGCAGCAGGGAGACACCATATCCGCCCATACTTGGGATTTCAATTACCTCGGCCGCCTTCTAGTCGAAGAAGTTTCGCCAGCGAAAAGCCGAGTGGCCAGGCAAAAAGCCCCGGGTGGTTGGTCTCAGTCTCCATTTTGACATATATTGCACTAGTCGCATCTGACTTACACATAATTCCTTACAATAGGTTACTGGTAGCAATTGGTCTAGGGCTACCAATATCGATCTACCTGTGGCAGAGAGGCGATAGGAATAAGCCTAGCACCAAGGCTCCTCCGGAGCCACGTCCAGAGCCACGCGGAGCCGCCAAAGAGTATAGTCAGAGACCAGAGGGCGGGCAGGACGTACCAGGATCTTCTGGTTATGATGTGGTTCGTTCTTTCTTCAAAATTTCCTATCTTGCCATCAGTGCTTGGTTCGCATTGTCATCGTTGTACGATCCAGCGTTTTGAGAGAAAGCGTAACTAACTTTCCAATAGCCTCGAGGCATGGGTGCACCCGCTGGACCTGGAAGCATCTCGCAGAAGCAGGAAGGCCTCTCTAGTGCAGATACCATGCACCCAGCTGTGAATGAACCTGGCAAGAGTCAAAAGGGTGAGGGTGAGACAGAGAGTGTAAAACTAAAAGGGTCCGTTAGGCCAGATCGACCTCAGGTTTGAGGCATGAAATCCTTATGTATTTCAAATCAAATAAAACAATATCCATGGATATATGTAGGAGCGCATTTCCTTATAGACATACCAACGGTCGAAGTTCTGTGACAAACTGGAAGGTCTGGTGAGGCAAGGTCTACACAAACGCCGGCTTTAATTGAGCTACACATTAGAAAAATACCAGTCGCGGACCGTTGTCCTTCCTTCGGTTCACCCATCTCTCTCTCACACACACACACGCTGACACACAACAAACACACAAAACATACGCACGAGGATTGTCTATATGTCCCGGTCTTTCAGTAAGTTTATTTTTAAGGATCCGGTATCAGTGGACCCGGGCAAGGATTGCAGCTTGCAATATTGCTCCAGCCTACCAACAGAAACTCCACTGCAACGCTTGGCCCACGCTTTTGCTGGGAAGCGTCACCCGGTCCCCGCTCCGCATAGTTGACTTTCACAATTCGCTTTTACGACAAAGGCTCGGCCATATGCCGCTCGAGACAGAGCTACTCAAGGTCTCGCGGGACCACTCCTGGTTTGATATATTGTCATTCATAATTCCAGTCGGCCAGAATGTCAGTCAAAACTGGCCCTGCTTGGGCACCTTCCCATGTCGATGAAACAGCCTGTGAGAACACTCTCCCAGTTTATGTGTACTCTGGATGTTCCCATGATCCTAGAATGAGTGGTCAAGCATGGAACATCATGTAAGTAATCGTATACTCGGGAGGTCTCACATTGATTAGATATTAGAGATTCCGCTTTATAAGTCACATACTAATAGTATCCATACTATAGTGGAACCCTTCGAACTAATATCCCTGTGATCGACTGGCGGGACGTACAGGGTAACCTTGAGGTGTACCTCGGGCCACTCTGTTACATTTTTCGACATCTGTTCTGCGATCTTGGGGGTCTACGAATCGGACAACGGGGCCGAATTTGTGGCTGTAGCCCCATGGGCCACCAATGCCCTTTCCATCTGGGACACTTCCTTCACTCGAGCACTGGTTGAACGTCTGCGGGCACAACTAAATGTTTAATTCAATTTGACATAGGAGTGAATTATTTCTTCTCGCCCACAGAACGAAATATCCTAGAACATGTTCTTCATTTCATATCGAAAAGACCCTTAAAGGCGCGAAAGATTGGAGAATTCTGCTGGAGCATGGTAAGTAGGGACCTTCATATCCAAATCGGCTCCAGAGTAGCCTAGGTCCTCTGCAACCAAGACTGCGCACTTTTCACCGATAAGGAGAGCAGTCTAGGGTTTTAATAGTCAGTATTTGACAGAACGCCAGGGAAACCAACAAAAGGAACACTCACGCTGAAAGTGTTGCAGCCCACATTATCAGGGCAGATAGACAAGTCGCAGACCTTGAGGCCCTTGACACCGTGAACATTGAGGCGCTCGTCAACGACGCCTCCGTGGGGTGCGATGGAGTTGCCCTCTCGCGGAGCCATGCTGCATGTGCCAAGACAGTGCCAGGTTGTCTCAACGTGACGGGAAACTACAGCAAAACTGTTAGCACCATGATCGGAGAGATTACCAATTCCCGTCCTTGACACTTACTCCACTTCTCGATGTGCTGAATATCTTCATCGCTGTACTCCAAAGAAGCACGAGCTTCATGTCTATTGGAGTTGAGCGTTGAAGCCGAAGGCTGCTTTCCAGGTTCCAATGGAGTGGTCCAAGAACCTATGTTGATGTTATTAGATGGATGGAACTACTCGGGCTGGGAAAAAAATTCTAAACATACCGTGTTGGATACCAGCAGAAATATGGTTCGGGCCAGCATATGCCTTGGTAGTTGCCAAATCCATATCCTGTGCCCGTGCCGATGAGTTAAAGGCAAACTGAGGATGCATGGCAGTGACCTCTCCAGCGTACGAGCCCATGCGCCGGGCGGTCTCGCGGGATTTAATATATCCCCAGACCAGAGGGGCCATGTCGCGTTTGTCATTCATGAAACCCGCATCGAAGTCCGGGACTTCGTAAGGGTCAGCCGACTGGATGTGAGTGTACCCACGTGAGAAAGGGTATTCCTGATATCTTGTCAGCACTGGCTGCTCCGATTAGCGAGTTTGTACCATACCAGGAAATGGAACATGGTAAAGAACTTGCCCGGAGGCATGTGCATGTGGTCCCCGAACCAGCTATGCGTGGGTTAGCCTCGTGGTATTCGAAACCAACCGGATCAAATGCTTACCCAGAAATGATCGAGTAATGCATGACGGGCTTATCGGGCTTGTTCCTGAAATACGACTCATAACCCTCTGTAAAGTCAGGGGTAGGCCACTTCTTCATCTCTCCGAGCTCTTGCTCGGTTGGCCGGATCTTGACCCCAGCATCGATACCGTTAGTGGCCAATGGGCCGGTGCCCCTCTTATCCCACTCGTCGAAGACCTTCTTCTGAACTTTGGGATCTCCACGGATGAAGTCATCAAATGACTCGACATCGGGCTTGGCGCGATAAACGGAGAAAGTAAGGTAGTGGTCCTGGAAGTTTCGGCCCACACCTGGTAGGTTGACCAGGGGCTTGACACCAGCCCGGCGCAGCTTCTCGGGATCACCAAAGCCGGACCGCTGGAGAATAAGTGGGGAACTCAGTGTACCCGAACTGATAATGATTTGCTTCCGGGCCTTGAAGATCCTGCGAACTGGCTCCCCACCGTTGAGAGGCTTGGTTGGGACTGTGACAACTCCAACAGCACGGCCATTTTCAACAATCACCTTCTCAACTTTGGTGTTGCACTGGAGGTGCAGGTTGCTATGCTTGGCTCGGGTGCTGTGAACATAGGCGTGGGCTGCATCACTTCGTCTTCCTAGTACCGAGCGTCAGAGAGGTAATGATACCGAGGCAAAACTGGAAATTTGTTCTTACCTGTGTCACGATTGATCCATTTCAACCAGTGTTCTGCACCATGGCTGTAATATTTTGACTCGTCGTTAGCAAGGTACAATGTATAATCTATTTTGGGCCTCATACGCAGTCTTCAAATCTTGCAAGTCGTCAGTGAATGGAATTCCTTGCGTCTCAACAGCGCGGAGGAAGTCATTCTTGATGGGGTATGTATAGTTTCCGAATGAGACCTTGATAGGTCCGTCAGTGCCATGCAGTTCCGGGTTATTGCTCGCACGTTGGTATGTTTCGTGCTTCCTCATCAATGGAAGAAGCTCCTTAGTTGTCCAGCCTTTTGCTTGAAAGTCATCGTAATCGGAAGCAGACGCCCTGGTATACATCTTCAATGCATTTAGTTGGGACCACTAGATCGAAATGTCAAACGGGCGTCAGTTACCATGAAGTTGATAGAACTGCCACCTCCAAGAATGTTGGCACATGGGACAATAGCCTGGCGACCATCTAAATGCTCAGATGGCCTAGATTGATAAAACGATGCCGTCTTCGAATCAAGCTTCATGTTATTCGGGTATATACCCGGGCGGTACACCCTGGTTCACATGAGAATACATTCTCTGGGAATCGTAGCATGGGCATCCTCACCATTGATTGTTCAGGTTATCCTCTCCTGCCTCGATCAACAACACAGACAGGGTGTGATCAAGATTCGCGAGGCGGCCCGCAGGGACACACCCCGAACTGCCGCCACCGCAGATGATGATATCAACCTCTTCTGGGATAGTCATGACCATAAATATATTAACAAGATAGTGAATGGATGATAGTTGTCAAGAATGTGCTCGGGGAGATAATCAGATCATTGATGGGACCTCCCGGAGCGGCCTTATATAGCTGTGTCTTTGTGCCCATGGGAATATCTATGGAGGCAATTTCCCCAAATCAAGTCACATCTACAGCCAATAGCCCTATACATTGACCCCGCGCGCGGAGACAAAGTTCAACTGCTTGAGTGTGGCTAACACCAGGCTCATCCTTGTCAAAAAGTGCGTTTGTCCTTGATGCACACCAGGGGATGTGTTTACCCAACTCTTCCAATCAGACACATTGTATCAGCATGGTGAAAGAAGTCATAAAGTATGACCTTTGCGACATAAGGGGGAGGACTTGCTGGTCATATTGTCTTGCTTTTCAAGTTGACTATCTTTCTCATATCTCAAACAGCCTAAAGCCAAGGCATGCTCTGATCTTTCTGGGAAGTTCCCCGCATTCCACGTATGGCTGTCATCAGTTCGATTGACTGCCTAGACCGAGCTCTTGCAAGTTATATGCAGGTAAGACGTTGCCAAGGGCCATTGTTATCCCTCCATCCTCTCCTGGACGAGGTATCGGGATATAGCTAAGGGAAATATGCGTGGGGGTCGAAAGTAGTTTGTTGGACACATCCAGCGAAAGATTATATGATTGGTTCTCGATACCCTCTAATTCAATACGTTGCCATGTACGTGTACACATCCCTGGCTTCCAGAATTGTACATGAGACAAATAACCGCGTCACAAGTTTGCGTTCAATGCCAGCCATGGACATTCTAGCTCTTTCTCCGAAATCCCGTGGCAGAGCAAAAAGTCAACAAGATTTCAAGGAACCATATATAACAGTATTTGATCAAGCAAAGTGATATTCTGATTCAGTGAGGTTCGCATTAGCCGGTAAACATGATTTAGCCCGCTTATAAAGTGGCGTTCTCTCAACGAATTAGTCTCCTGCTCAGATTGTCACTATTCCCGCAATACCAGTGCTGTAGATAGTAATTTTGCGGGGTAGACTTATTTGGCGTTGTGCATGAAATCTTCGAAGATATTTACGCAATAGGCGGCATACGTAAATTGCTGATACAAATTTCCATTGGAGGAAATTTGACACATCGGACTGCATGGTACTTTCACATCACTTGTAGGTTAGGCCGAAAACTTATACAGACCTTGCTAGGATTACTCTTAACGGCTAATTCTAGTCAGTACATCTAAGGGATGAGCAGTGCTTGCCAGTGGCATAAGTACAGCTCCAAATATATCTTCCACCAATCAAATAGGCGTCCAAATCATAGACCAAATATGTTACATGAAGGAAACGCAACGAAGACGAACGCGATGTGAATAAACATGGATTAGATCTTACACATTCAATATCTTCCATTCACCAGGAATAGTGACAAGGAAAGTAGTATATGGAGTTTTGGGCTGTTTGAGCGTTCTGTTATCGACAACCCTTGCTTTGACCGGGCGACCGTTCTATGAATTCAAAGGGTCCCTAAGAAGAGTACAAGTCCTACATAGGGAAATATTCAGGTGGATGGTGAAGTCTGAAAAAGGAGGTCAAATTTTCGGGCAAGAAGAGAAGATGATGAAATCTAGTATATAGAATGGACTCACACCGAAGGAAATAAGCGACCACAACGAAAGAAATGTAAACCCAAGGAATTATGACTAACAAGAAACAGACATCGAAGGGGTCTTTTCCAAATCCTCAAGCTGGACCTTAGGGGGCTCTACCCTGTTGGCAACGTTCTGCTAAAGTTCGTCGTCAGATTGACGTAGGTCTTCCAGCTTCGTACGGCAGCATCCATCGAGTAGGTATCATTGGATGGGTGGTGTTGAAGCGACGACATGTCAACGAACTCCGTCCTTGCACAAGTAGCTCTTGAACGGTCAAGCGACCCTGGGATTTGGCGACAAGGTGAGGCTTGAGGCATATTGTGCACTTCGCCATTCTGTCTGGCGAGTTTGGTTGGCGAAAATTTGATAATTCTGCATGTTCCTGCCCATATGTTCGACTGCTTCCGTCGCTGCTCTTTCACAACGGCTTCGTATATGATGAGTGATTTTGCCAAGGTGACCAAAGTGATGTATCTGGTGGTAAAAAAGGAGGAAATATTGAGTAGTTTCAATGCGTCCTTGGAAATGGGAGTGCTCTGTTCTCGAATTTGCGCGACAGCCACTTCTAAACTCACTCGGTCCAGTTTCTGTGAGGTATCGCCCTTGAATTCCACTCTCCAACATCTTCGTTCCACGCAATATCTGAGTCACTCCAAGGCTTCACAAACCCTGCATCCCACAGAAGGAACCCCTTTTTATCTTCATGGTCCATGTCCAAAACGTGAATGGAATCAGTAGTCCTAGCAGGAGATGATTTGGTCGTGACAAGAATGTGTCCCTTGTCGCCGCAAGGGAAAAGCTCTTCTGCCTCTGTCAAGGATGGAGCATTGTCTATGATCAAAAGCCATGGCTCTTGAACATCAGACAGTTGATGAAGCGTACGTATTTTAGATGAGGGATCGAGACTCTCAAACCGGGTTTGTTCTTTAGAAAAACTGAACCAAAAGACACCCGAATAACTTGACCGTTGAAAGTTGAATAGTTAGCAAGATATCAATATGAAGGAAAAGCTAGTGGACAGGTCATACCAGGTTTTGTGTTTGTCTGCAAATTCGGAACAGAGATGTGTCTTGCCTAATCCTTTTGTCCCATAAATCCAGATCACTTCCCGTTGGTGTACCGATCCTTTGGTCCAGGAGGGGTTGAGCTTTCTCAGTAAGTCACCGAAATAGTCATTCCCGCCGTGGTATAAGTCACTGATGAGTCCAGGAATAACGAACGATGTCTTTTTGTTGGCCAAGGAGAGAGGGATGTCAACCTGCCGGGACCCAACCTCATTGGGTAGACCAAGCGAGCCCAAGTGGTCCTGTCGAGTATTGTATTGATTGTATCTAAATATAAAGGGTCAGCCAGATATTTTGAAACCAAATCATAGAAACCTCACAGATGCCTCTTATCGATGGAGTCTTTCATGGAGGATTCCTGATCGGATAACCGATGCTGTAAGATCTGGAATAATTTCTGGTGGTACCGTATCCGCAGAAGTTTCATCAGACCATGACGATTCTTAGGTAGATTAGTCCCTGTTTTGCCACAAATACTTAGAACCTTATTGTTGAGCATCTTTGCCGCCTTCTTGAACTCGACCTGCGTTCTTTGAAGATCCTCGCAGAACTTGTTGCATTCAAATCCTCTTCGAACGAGAGGCTCCCATGTCTCAAGATGTGCTCAACAGCACTGGTATTCGAGGTTAGGGTGCTTGTTAGCCCATCACCCTTGTTAACGAGATAACCTAGCTCGTTCGTGATGACAATTCGCCGGTGGTCATTCCAAAAGGTGATCGTACATATCGATGCCTTTACAAAGCTAAGGACCGCAGCAGCAATACCAACTTCCATGTTCAGCGAGACAAAAAAAGGAACATAGTATATGGAAATAATCTCATGTGAGGGACACAACATACGAAATATATAGGATAGCCTTTTTCACCTTTAGTCCGTGTCTTCAGTATGTCTAGTTTCATCTATGAATAAGGTATTGTCCCCTTCATAGTAACAGAGTCATCTTCCGGATGATAGAGTTCTATGTTCCACTCTGCGACTATATCTAATGCCGGCTTCGAATGAATACCTAATATCCGTCCTCCCAGCTCATTACTTCCCTTGTTCGTATAGATCCCACCGTCTTTGTTTAGATGTCTCAGAAAACGAAGAAACAGCTATTGTTCAATTCAAAGAACCCGGTCTTAGCTTGATATACGATGAACTAATATTACTACTTTCACCTTTACAGCTTCTTCAAATCGGTGCTACAGCCTTTCTCATAATGGCGCAACTAGCAGTTACACTTGTGTTGATCGATTAAGATTTCCGGTCTTTGCTTCCTTAATTGTAGCCACTCGTCTATGGATAATAGTACGTTACCCCTGTATCAATATCAATCGTTTGCGACTCGTTTATTTCTGGGTCATGTGCCAAAGTCGAACGTTTTGATTTCTAGTAATTATTTCTAAGAGAGGTCTTTATCTCAGTTGAAAGGATATACCTACCAAGTTCTTTTTTCCCGCTGGCATAGCGTTGGTGGAGCAATTATGGCAACATTGCATCAAGCCAAATTATGAATGAAACGGCAGGGGATGCGGAAAGGCGATGGATAGCTACAAAATGACGATGTCACATGTTCCTCTCCCTAGGGAAAAGAGCGAGTGGGATCAAACAAAAGGAATGACCAAGGAACAAGAGCGATAAGACATCAACCAGCAGACGGCGTAGACGAAGACTGAGGCGACGGCTATGACGTAGGCATCTTTCTTGCCTGCTGAGCTTGGGCAAATGCCCACGTACATACCAATATAGATGTGCGAGCACAACTGCAGGGTTATTTCGACGAGGGTGCAGCAACGTTGGCCGAGGAGGTTGATTAGACCCCATATGAAGTAGAAATGCAAAACGCGAGGTAGTACTAAGCGACTACACAGTGATCTTCCTTCTCCCTCCTAAATTCAGGACTAAATTCAGAAACACGGTACGGCTGCTTCCGCGCTTCCTTCTCCCAAAGTTCGCGGAAAACTAAATCGCGCCCCAGGATTTCGTGGTCGCTGAGATCGAATGTGCGACAGAGGCTAACCTCAGCATTGCATTCTGCTTCGTATATTTCACAGTCGAAGTCGCCTCCATGGGGTTCCTCATTGACAAGCTGTACATCCCCTCGCTCCCAAAGCCTCTTCAGGAGGCGCGTTCGCCTCTTTGCAGCCAATATTGCCCATTTTTTTCCCTTCTGACTCATACCAATTCCCGAAATACCCATACATCACCATCCATAGTCCACGCCTAATCGACGTAGGCCATAGTGTACGCTCAATAATCACAGGCGGTGGATTCTCCTGTAAGACCATACGTTCCGCCAAAAGGGACTTCTCCAGCACTTGGAAAAATTTAGCTGGAGCATCGATTGATCCAAAGCTATCCAAGTCAATACCGAGCCAAACCGTGTACCGATGTTCGTAATGGATAGGATCGTGTCGTATCATATAGTCTGTTTGGAATTCCTCATGTACGTATCTTGAGAGGATAACTGAGTACAACTTGTTGACCGGACCATTCGGGCTGAGGACTGGAAGTTTAATAGGATCCTCGCACTTTAAGCTGGCGAGTCTATCAGTGTCGTCGGAATAGCGACTCAGTAGGTGAATCTTTTTCACCTTCGGCAGGGGGTTACCCGTAGACATGGATGGATGTCAAGACCCTATTTCATAAGTCTGTTTCCCAAATACCCTACAAATAGGAACATCGCGCAAGCGACTCTTGATCTTCTCTATCATAATATAACAATAATTAAAATTAAACAAGTCCGATCTATAAATGCTAGTAAATCTGCTTTCCAAGACAAATCCAAAACAAAAAAAGCACCAAAAAGGCAGAACAATATGAATCTCTTAAACACGTTTCCCTTCAAATCCTTCGGCGGGCCATCCCTGGAGCGTGTCTCCATCCTCAACATGGTCACCCGACAGGACCAGAGTATGTTCCAAAAGGCAAGCATCCCGGCCCATTGAAGCACCGGACATCAAGCGTGATCCAGCGCGGAGGATACTCCGGTCCCCAACTTTCAAGGTATGCAGCTCGAATCCACCACGCGAATTCAAGTGACAGACCAAACTAGCATCGTCGACAGCGACACGGTCGCCAAGGGTGAGGAGGTCTGGCTCGGTGAAGAAGATGCTCGGACTACCGTTGGCGTGGATCGCACAGTCCTTTCCAATGTTCGCGCCCAAGAGGCGGTAGTACCACGAAATGTAGGCAGAGCCGGAGATCATGGGTAGGAGACCAACTCCGTCATAGCAGTCTTTAATCAGGGTCTCGCAGGAAAGGAGGAATTGCCAGCGCTGGTTATAGCTGCTCTTGTCCCAGTGGTAGGAGCCTTCCTTACGGTGGCCCACGACTGTCCGTTTAATACAGATAATGATGCCGAAGGCGAGGACGACTTGAGCGGCGGTGATAACAGATAGGATCGAGGCGAGAGTGCCGTACAGAACGAATGGGCGCCAGGCGCCTTGCTTGAAACCAGCGGCATCACTATACTTTAGGACAGTGCGGAGAGCGAAAAGGGAGAATAGAACGGTGAGGAGCCAATAGACAGTAGTGATAATAACTGCGAAGGTAGAATATATGACAATTTGCCACATGCGGAGGACGTAGTAGTTGGCCTCGCGGCGGTAGAAGGCGCGACCGAACGGCTTGCATGTGTCCACATCCTGCTCAGCGATCTCGGTAACGGTCATATCCTTACTTCCATAGTAGGTCTGCTTCTCAGTGGGTGTTTTCTCAGTGGGTGTTCTCTCGTCTTCGCTGCCGCTGCTGGGGCTGCTGCTACCATCCCCGACGATGGTTGGAGCGGTCGAAGTGGTGGTCGAGGTGGAACTTGGGAACTGTATAGCCTCACCACCCTTGCTACCAGTCCAGACAGTGTTGGCAGGATATTCACCGTTACGGCGAAGCAAAGCACCGGAGCCGATCATGGCTTGGCGGCCGATGGTAGCTCCGGGTAAAGCGACGACCCGATCACCAACCATAGTGCCATCACCAATCACAATGCGGTCGCGACCATAGCCATCGGATGTAACCAGAGTCGAGCGAGAACCAAACACAACATCGTTACCAACCTCAATGAGATCAAAGTCGACAGTAACGGGACCAACACTAGGCCAGTAGACATGCTTGCCAACCTTGCCACCAAGGGCACGGACAGCCATCGAGACAAATTCGTAGTGCCGACCAGTCAGGCGAGTAAGTTCGTGGATATCGCCTGCGGGTAGAATCTGCGCAAGCACAGCACTCCGAATCTTTTGGCGAGTGGTCTGCTTTGAGGCAGGACCAGGCTTGGGCTTGCCACAGATGAGATCGAGGAAGAACTTGATGATCAAGACCGCAATAAAAAGTAGAATCGGGCCACCAACAGCACGACAAATCCTAGCGGTAATGTGGAATGCAATCCGGTGATCATTGGTATACCAGTCCAGGGTAGACCGGAACATGTCGGCCGCGGGGGTAGGGAACTGGAGCACCATAGGAATAAGGCCAGCCATCCAGGTAATACGAGCAGCCGTCCAAGTAATCAACTTTATTGGTTGAACAATAAAGAGAATCCAGAGCCAATGAGGCTTAGGAATCTGAGAGGTAAGCAATTGGCGGTTGGACTCATCGGCGTCCTGGAGTTCCCAGCTCGACGAATTGGGACCAATGCAGGTCCGCTCCGGGATATCGGCACCAGGAGCAACAATAGACTTGATGCCGACGGACGAGTCCTTACCAATTCGAATTCGCTTCAAAAGCATCGAGGTGTTGCGTTCCACGGCGAAGGGGCGACACACGCAGGTATCCAAAACAACGTTGTCACCGATCTCAATCAGATCGTATTCACCAAGCTTAGCGGATGCAGACATGGTGACATTCTTTCCAATCTTTGCGCCCAGCAGACGGTAGAATAGAATGCGGGACCAATTGTAGTTGTTGAAGAGTCCCTTACCACACACCTGCAATGCCTTCTGGGTCAACCACCAGCGGGTATGGTAGGGGCCCCACATGGGGAACATGCCCTCCTTATAGCGACCGACGACAAGCCACTTGAAGACGATAGCTAGGATGGGAGACACAATTTGTGAACATAAGCGAGCAGACATCACGGCGAAAACCACCAGCATCAAACGAGCGATGAGGTTCTCACGGATAGGAAATCGATTTGAGCACTCGGCCACGACGTATGCAAACACCATCCACTGGAAGGCGCGCTTCATGGGGAAAAAGAACACCGTCGGGAACAGATGCAGGACCAGGATAATTGGGTTGGTGCTACTGTATGTCTTCTCGCAACCTGGCAATTCAACTCCCCGTTCATCGCCGTTAGCAGCCTTGACTTCAACGGCTTCAATGATCTTCTGCTCTATTGCTCCAACCGTGCTGTGGTGGAAGAGAATGTCACCGGCGAGGAAAATACCGAATTCGCGACGAAGTTGCGAAACCATACGACCAGCACTAAGACTGTCACCTCCAGCAGCAAAAAAGTCGGTACTGCTGGATACTTCCTCCGGTGCACAAGACAAGGCGACAGCGAAGATCTCACGCATGCGGCGCTGAATGGGCGACAGGTCACCATCCGGGTTGCGGGCGTGGATTGCCTCGTTGATGGCGGCCTGGTCTGGCTTTCCGTAGAAATCGAGAGGCATGGGACCTTTGAGGGGAGTGATACGGCTAGGTACGAGATAGCCATCGAGATGATGCTGGAGCTCGCCAGGTGTCACATGGTCATCATCGGGGTTCTCGACAAACAAAACAACCTGTGCGAGCCCGTCGCGTGGGTTTATTTGCACGTGCACGTCAGGGGTGTTTGCTTTCTTGCTAACGACTGAGCGAACGAGCTTTTCATCGATGACACACGACTTCTTCGGAATCAATGCACTGAGCGGAGCACCAGTGGGCGGACAGACAGCTTCGTAATGCCGGTTTGCCAGGGGCGTAGTCGTGGTCAAGGTCTCCAACGACAACCGGTCTGCGAGCTTGATACGCTGGATCTTGTTGTTTGCCTTCGGCACCCCGTCCATGTATACCACCAGAGCGGGCCACTTGGGTTGATGGATAATAGGCTGCAGCGCTTCGTGTATTTGGCGAAGATCCGGCCTAGTGAAGCCCGGAGGTGTGACGATAACCACACCGACGACTTCCTGTAGGACCTCGTCCGGGACAGAAAAGGCCAGTGTCTCTGTGACACGACCATACAGCGGGGACTCGGGGTCCTTGGCCGTGGTCAGCACGGCATTTTCCACTTCGACGGGAGAAATAATTTCGCCACCACGGTTGATGACCTCTTTGCTGCGGCCAGTGATGTACAGGTAGTTGTCATCATCGAGGTGTCCAAGATCACCAGTATCAAACCAGCCAGATTCGTTGAACGCACTGGTATCTGTCTTGCCTCCAGGTGTCAGATATCCCTCAAAAGCAGGTGATCCGCGAATGCAAATGTGCCCGAGCATCCCATTTTGCGGGACAGCCTTGCCACTCTCAGTCATAATTGCAACCTCGGGGCCAACAATCTTTCCAGATGTTCCAGGGCGATCAAGCTTATAGTCCCTTGGCGGCGCAGCAATGGGCATACATTCGGTCATTCCATAACTAGGGAGGACAACACAGTGAAAGGTATTATGAAGCTGCACGGCAAGTGTTGGAGGGAGACCGCCGCCAGCGTTGCAGATAAATTGGATGGCGCTTTGTTTAACAGCATCAGGGCGGTGCTCGGCTTCGGCAAGAATCATTTGGTGCATCGTGGGTGTGGCGTAGTACCAAGTTGGTGTCATATGAGGGCTTTGCACGGCGTCCCAGAACATACTGGGGTCAAACGAGGGGCAGCATATTGTGGCACCGCCGGCCAGAATAGGGGAGAATATACTGCGCATTATGCCACCACTGATGTTGTTAGTCGTTTCCTATGATATATTTGGCAGGGGGACATACACATGGTTCAGCGGCATCATATTAAGACATGTATCTGTCTCGGACAGTTGCACAGACTCTATGGTAGCGATGGTACCGGCGATGAGGTTGTAAGTTGTAATGGGGACCAGCTTCTTAGTGCCACTCGTACCACTGGTAAACAGGATAATGGCTATATCGTCCCCAGAATTGGGGGGATGGTCGTATGCACTAGAAGGATTTCGTGGAGAGACCACTCGGAAAGTCATGTTCTCAAGCTGCTCAATGCCAAATACCGGCCGGCTACCGTTGTCCAGCTGCAACTTGCCAATGTCAGCGTCCAGCGCGACAACAGCATCAGCTTGCGAGTTTTCTATATCCGTTTGCAGCTGCTCTGGCACCGTGTTCGTAGTCATAGGCACAATGGTGTACCTGTTAACGAAAGCAAGAACAGCAACTGCCATAAGAGGGCCGTTGGGCAAGATGACAGCAATCCGAGGCTTTCCATGGCGGGAGAGTCCCACGGGAATCTGGAAGCTCTCCAAGAACTGCCGAATGGCAATATGTGTCAGATTCCGCCCGGTGTTAGCATCGATAAGACCGACGCGGGAGTCTGTCCCCATTAACTCGGCAACGCTGGGGGTGGCTGCTTTGACTTGTGCACGGAGGTGGGTAATTGATTCATTATTATTGGCCTTGAGGGACTCGGGAATGGACCTATAGATGTCCTGAAATGCTGGTATTAGGTGACGGATGGGCCAAGAACCGGTGTGTGAGGATAACAAAGCGGAGAGTTGGTGGTAGGAGTCTGGGTGAGAGGCCTCGCTGCGGAGGTATAGAAGCTTTTCTATAAGTCTGTTTGACAGTCAGAATTGGAAAGCTTCACTTGGACACCCCAAAAAGGAGAAGAAAAGAAGAAAATGATAAATTTGATAAAACGTACGAAGATCTTGATAAGTCCGCCATAGTATATCTCTAGTGCAAATCAATTTCAACTAAACTTGATATACAACCCAAAAAGGAGAACTGCTTCACAACTTATATGCTGGCCCTAGTATCATCCACTATCAACCTGATGTACAACTCAAAGGGAAAAGTCCTTCACAACTCATCTACTGCCAATATCCACTGGACCCACCGACATCTTGCAAATTACACCAGAGATCTCATTGTGATCCCAAAATCCTTCACACAAAGTACGGCGCCAAACTCACTCCGGGCCGAGAAGAGAAAGATCCGCAGGGCATCCCGATACCCAGGCTTGACCCACGGAATTCCGTTCATAGTCGGGGGGATCAGCTCAACCATCGGATTGTACATCATGCAGCTGGACGGGATGGCATTGGCCAAAGATAGAGACATTATGCCGTCTCTGCTCTCAGGGCTGTGAGGTGATCAAAAGCACAGGGTGTTGATAGACATTGCAGCTTCTCGGAGGCCGAATGTCACAATCGGACCCCTGTCTTACTATTTCAATTGAGCTTCTTGTTATTAAAATTTTCCCTGTTTGATATTACTCGAATTCCCTTTTACCGAATGTAGTAATATCACCGCGGCATGGTCACGATAAGCCGGACTCAGAACATCGACATCCCGAATAGCCTAGCGTAATCTGCATCTTCTGAGCATATCTCGATACAAATTTCACATGAAAGCTCCGCCTATCCCTCCATGAACGACTTCTTAATGAATGATGATGTCTCCCAGAACACATAAGAAGTGGATCTATGCAGGGCCGCGGGATAGCAGCGTCGCAGGATCGCCTCTGGTCAGCATTTAGGGCGCGAACACCGCCGATCGCATCGCTCAAAACTGGGAAATGCTCATATCGTGCTCCGTACGCATCCAGAACCTCGAGGCGTTTATAGCTTTAGGGCAACTACTGCGGGCGATCAGCCGAAATATTGGAAGTGATGTACACGTCACATAGAAGGTCCACATTTCGATTGTGGAAACACTCTGCCCTACGACAGACGGGACTTTGCCATTATCCGTATTCATCGAGTTAATATACGAATGAAAATGATCTACACTGTGTAATGCAAAGCATGGAGCACATCTTTTTGTTAATCAATGACTCCATCTCCCGTTACATGGGTGTTCCAGGGTTACATACATCGTACCTCGTACTCCGTACGGAGTACGAGGCAGATAGTGCTGAGAACCCACTTCCCGAAATAGGGCCGGTCCTTGCCAAGAGTCTTGGCAAAGGATTACGTTTGCTTGGCAAGGAAATCAATTCCATGTCTCAGCTACGGAGTAGTATGTGCCTAGGTCTCACCCTTATTATTTTCCATTCAGATCCAGGTTTGGACATAGCATTCTCCCCCGACACTTCAGTAAGAGGCCGTCTTAGGATCCGTGACACAGAAATTCTACAGCTTCTGGTAGACAAGGTTTGATCTTATCAATAGTAGCAATTGAGTTCCGAGTACTCCGTATGGTTCCGAACGTCGAGACCGCCGATCTCAACGCGCCGATCTGCAACGAGGCCAACGCTACTCCGTACCCAATGTGACAAAGTGGCCTCGACTCGTTACTCCGTACCTATTCCGTACTTCCAAGTTCCCGCGATCAAGACCGTGTGAAAATCCTAGCCCGCTCTAATAAATAGAATAATTGATCCTGACTAATATTACAGAGTACTTCCACTACTTATGCATGCTATGCATAGCACGTTGAGAGGCACCAAGATCTTATTGGTCGCGGACTATATATATTCATTAGGCTACGATTGAGCTTCACTAAAGCCAGGTACTGGAGTAGATTAAAACCAGATTCAAAGGAGGTTTCCCCCCTATGGAAAGTGACAATGGGCTCGAATGCCCAATGTGCCAAGACTGTTCTAATTAACCTCCATGTGAGGCTAAACCGGTTGAAGCTTTGGCCTAGGCGGTGAAGTCCGACAGATAATCCATCTTCCCGAGATGCACCCCTTTCGCCCTCAAAATATCATACGCAGTCACCACATGAAAGTAGAAATTCGGTAACGCAAATCGCACCGCATAACTCTCCACCGTATAGTCGATCACCTCGTTTCCAAGCGGAGCCTTGAAGATTTGTCCTTCCTTGCTAGAGATCTTAGCCGGATCGACCTTTTCGAGTTCCGCGAGTGTCCTGTCAAGACGCTTGTAAAGGTCTTCGTAGGTCTTATCGGGCTCTTGCTGTGGCTGAGGTTCGACAAAGGCTGCGCGGGCGAGAGTCTTGGAAACCGTGTTCGTTGCGGTAACGACTTGGAAGGAGAGGGGCTTCATATCCTCGACAAGGCGGGCATTGAGAAGTTCATCGAGCGGGATGTTGTTTTCTTTCGCGTACTCCTCGGCCTTTTTTAGGAGGGTAGAGAGGGTATTGAGACCCCTGGTAAAAGTGGCGATGGCGTAGTTGTAGAATGGGGAGGCCATTTCGACTTTTGCACTTCAAGATGTATTTTGACGCTGGTAAACCGTAGAAATGAAGTGAACACTAATGAATTTGTCGATTGAAGACTGCTGTTATCGTGCTGAAGGAAGCAGATGCGGCCTTATATACACAATATCCTGGACCTCAGGAAAAGGGATCTTCATGCTCGCACAAAGTCTGATTTGTAATCAGTGAGTCTCCCAAAGCTGTCTTAACCATCTACGTATACGCGATATCCTGCCCCTCAGCAAAAGGAATCCTCATACTGGTGACACCGTGGACTGAAATCTGATTTGTAAGCCACCAGTTTGTAAGCATGAGTTCTCTTGTCTTCGAAGGTTACCTATCTAGGTAGGGATCTGGTCATGAGCTGCAGGGATGAAGGAAGAATTTGGCAAAGATCTGCACGGTTACTATGCTGGATTCGGACCCCAATGTGGGGCAGTATAGCTCAGAGTTCCAGTTCTGTTGAGTACTTATCAGACTCTACAGGGTAGATGAGATCAAGAAGAGAGTATGACAGCTGGTAATTTATGCGATGGTGAACTATGTAATAGACAGGAAAAAAAAGGTAGATATGCTATCTACTACATGGAGACTCTGGAGCTACGTGACTAGTTATCAGCTACAACATATTAACAGTATTCAGTAGGATAGCTAGGTATTCGTGTTTAGGGTTTCAGCCACAACAATTGAGTATGATACTTGGACTCAATAGAGAGTTACCTCGTGTCATATTTTATTGCGCACATTTATATGTTGTAATCAATTGATCAGAGTCAATGCCTCTATACGAAGTCAGACAAGTTAAACTCTCATTTCGCGACATTGCGTGGATAAAGCCTGGGGCATATGACTTTCCTGTGTTAGCTTATCTTAGAATTTGCATCCTATCAAAATCCGTACCATCTCTCTCTTGGTCACCTATATCGGGGAATGCCCAAGGCGCGCGACCATCCAGAATAGCCAGGCAGGCCAGACTCTATCAGAATACTGGACCCGAATAATCTAACAACCTCCATAGCAATGGAGACAACTACATCTGATTACGAGCTCATCGCAAATACAATTGCGGACATTGCAGTTGCATTTGATGCGGACACCTTCGTGGCAGTTAGAGCACTCCCTATCATAAGAGTATCTATTATGTTCCGTAGTTCTTCTTCCTCGCTTAGCTAAGATTGATAGTCGGTGTTCTCACTCATAATTAAGACTAATCTAGGTAGGGAACAAAGATCCTATGCGCCTTAGGCAAAAGTGCTGCCTCAACAATATTCGGCACAGCTATGGATATATCATTTGAGGTGGGCCAGGACATGAGATATGTTTGATATCTCCCGATCTGAGTCTGTTCTATTCTACAAACCCCAAGGAGTGGGATCTAGAAACAATGTTACTAATGGTATCAACTACCCCCAAGCACCCGAATTCCGTATCTAAGTGTATGACGATATGCAACAACCCTGTCTACATAATGCACCTATAGACCGACTACTGGTGGAGGTAGAATTCTCCACCGTTGATAGTCTTGCACTCGGTATCGACATTACCAATAGGGCCTGTGTAAGGGCCACACTGGTACTTGTAACCAGACTCAATGAAATTCACAGCTGTTCCAGCAGGTCCCTCAGCGGCGATTTCAAACCTCTCGACATTTGAAGCCCCAACGGGGAAAAAGAAGGAGTAGGCAGGGTCAGCGCAAGGCTCTGGGCTCTTGGGGCCGACAGGAAGTGTGCCATTTATCCTAGTTTCTTAGGTTAGTCTCTTCCTATCATAGTCATGTAAGTCCTGCAGAATAGTAGTAACTCACCAAGCAGTGTGGCAGGTGGTGGTCTCAAGGGCCTCACCCACAGGGCTCCTGGAAGTAAGATAGAACGTCAAATCCCAGGTGTCACCCTCAATAGTGTGCTTGAGGGAAAGGTCGCCGATGCTGTAGGGATAGACTCGGGACTCAGTGGTAGGAGCAGCGAGGGTGGCACCTGCGAGAGAAAAAGCAATCGTAATGAAAGAAGTCTTCATTTTGATGGATAATGGATATATATTGTGCCGACAAGGACGATGTTGCGTTGGAGTGTTTAGAATCGGTGATTATTGCAATAAAGTGGATTCGATGTTGTGATAATAAAGGACAGGTAGAACAAGGTTCTAAGTCTTTATATACATGTAGATGTTGAAGTGGCCTACGTTATTGTAGAGAGTACGCCTTAGAGGAACATAAGTGTCTCAGTCTGCTTAGGCCCACTCGGTCGATCTTCACCAATTGTACATTGGATATCGAAGAAGGTGGTAAGATTTCCCTCTGTAAGATACGTGGCGCACCGCTGCGCACTGTTCTAATTGCCAATGTCTTAGCGACAACTAGGATGACCGCTAAATATAGCTTGAATACACACAGCTTAGAATGCTGGAGTAGCGCACAATATCATAACAGTCTTGGTGTGTGCATAATTAACTAACAATAAAGCTATGTTAGCATAGCCCTGAAGATGAAACTTACAACTCCGGGGTAGTGATCTACAAGGCCCTACAACGTATCCAGTCAGCTGCCTCCAACGCCGGGCCGGGCTGTGCCTAGAGCTTACGTAATACTCAGCTCTCAATTCACTTCTATTTAACTAACAATATTAACCAGAATCCATCCCCTTTCCACATATTTGGTGGCGGGGCGACTATAACAACCTCAAATTTCATTGTGAGATCCAATCGCCGGCCACGCCCTACAAGATCCAATCGTATCTCACTTTTAACCGAGTATTCCTCCGCTAGGTACCTACATATGTAGGTAACAAACCTTAGAAAGTACCTAGGTAGGTAGGACGCCTAATTCTATAAATGGAATCGCTCAATACCCCTAGGACTGATACTAGTATACGATGTCGGATATAGACGGCGGAGAGGTCCGGGTAGCCGGTACGACATTTGGCATATGAATACGTGGATGGGATGCGAGTACAAAACTGATAGAACTCGACCTTTCCATCGAGTCTTCCATTAGCATCTATAAGTCTCCACCTGAGTATGGTTCCATAAATACAACAAGCAAACCCGGTCGTAGGATTCTTGGCGCCTTCTCCTACGCGGATGATGATGCCGGCTCTTTATCAAGCGGTTTATTTTGGCTGATCGAGAATCTCTCCAATTCGGAGGATTGGTTGTACAATATAGAAGCTGAAACTACAGGAGAAGATGATTAAAACTCCGCCCCCGGCTTGCAAGGGCGTCTATTCCTCGGGCACCTGTGGGGGCCTGAGGTGCAGTGGAAATACTTCACCCCAGAGGAGTATCCTTTGGATTGAAGGTAGATAACATGGATAAGATGACATGATGGCTCTAGACTTACAGATCCGTCATACGGCTGCCCAGCTTAAACAATGTGACTAGGGCCCATGAAATGCCGCAAGATACACACGGTCAGTGACAGTCTCCCTAACTCCGACTTGGACGCTTAACCCCGAAATGAAAAATGGATTTCTTCTCCAGGAATGTACCTGAGTAAAGCTAGTGCAGATATTAAAGCCTTTCTACCTACGGGTCAATTTGTGGTCCGATCCTTCGCATGACCATCTAAAATCATCATCTATCTGGACATGCATCTCTCCTATGACCCTGATTTTTACATAGCCCGCACGTCGGTAAAGCCCTAGTTTCTACCCCATCTGGGCACCAATCTTCATTTAATTTAATGGCGTTTTGGTTGAGATAAATGCATTTAAAATTAGTAGGTTGGGTGGGTTGCGTCACTCGGTAGTCTGCGTCACTCGGTAGTGAAATACGTTATCAATTCCCTATATTTAGTACAAGAGGAGTAAGGAAGACAGGATATAGAATATACTTAGCTTTGATCTGATTAGTGATACTAAGGAAGAGAGCGCCTAAAAGTATTTACAGTAGAAGAAAGGGGTAAATAATTGTTCCGTCCTCTTATTCGTATTTGCCCGAGTGGAATGATTCCGAAGTTCACCCGTGGACCTGCCCAGGTGATTCGGGATTTGCCTGGTTTTAGAAATCTGCCAAGACAGTGGATTCCAACCTTCAAAGGTTTCAAGATCGGGCGATCAAGGATCAAGTTTACTAATTGTGTTTAAATTGGGCTATAATGTAAATGAGCTTGAGTGCCGACTAGCAACTATGAGCTACCTACTCCTCAAATATCTACCTAGGTAGTTATAGGCTTGTAAGGCAAATGAATACTATGCCCAGGTTAATTTTATGCATGATAACTACTCCGGACATGTAATCTATGCAAAGCTTAATTGTACCCCACTTTGGCCATGGGCTGCGGGCCGTAACTTGGAAAGTTCAAACTACTCTAACTACAATTTATACCGACAACATAGGTACCTACAGTACAGACTCGCTGTCTGGTGGAAAGGGGCCTGGCAGTCTCATTTGTCTTTAAATTATTCCAGCATTGCGACACCAAGACACCTTTGCACTTTCGTAGACAGCAGATACACGTCATGCTGCCTTCCCGATATGGCCTAAGTGACCGCTCTACGGCATTTTAGTCAATTGTCAATAAGGATTCAGTTACTCCGTAGCCGTAAGGAGAAATTAGAAAGTCCACCAATCAATTAAACTTATTGTTCGCTCAGGGGGAAAAATTCGCAGACAACCACGACTACCGTGATCTAAATGAAACACTACTAAATTGACCGCCCGCGGCTCTGCTAATTCTCCTGAGATTCTCTAAGTGCCAGCCTTAGAATCGATTGGCCGATGTCAGTGGAGGTGTTTCGGAGATGGGGTTGCTGACGATCGCCTTCCCAAAGCAACGATATCCACGGACCGATCGGCGGTGGCATCTCCACCTTACTTTCACATCCATGATGGTTTCCGAAACAACATCCACTCTCATTTCGGACACTGTTCGAGTATAGGAGCGAAGATGTGCTTACCCACTCAGCCGTTTAACGGCAAAGGGAGAGGTTGAAAGGCAGAAACATCCTCATAACCTAAAATCGCAGTTAAATAAGTAAACAGCATCTGTCCTGCTCTCATCCATTCCGCTCTCTGCTTTGCTTTTTTCGCTTTATAGTTTCGTTTACTTTTGCTTACCGTCACTCTTTAGATACTACCGCATCAACTTCCAAGATGAAGTACGCATTTGTCCTCACGGCTATTGCCTCTATTGCCTCCAAGGTCGCCGCTGTCGGCGTCTCTGGCACCCCTGAGGGATTCGCTTCTTCCGCCACTGGTGGCGGTAATGCCACCCCTGTCTACCCTACCTCCACCGATGAGCTGGTCTCTTACCTCGGTGATGATGAGGCCCGTGTTATTGTTCTGAGCAAGACGTGAGTAGAGAGCCCCCGCCGTGGATGGACGACGACTGACAATGGCGGAATGCTAGTTTTGACTTCACCGATACCGAAGGCACAACTACAGGCACCGGTTGTACTCCTTGGGGCACTGCCTCCAACTGCCAGGTTGCCATCAACAAGGACGACTGGTGCACCAACTACCAGCCCGATGCCGCTACCACTTCCGTCACCTAGTGAGTATTGTATTAACCAGGCTATGATCGACGTCTCCTCGATGCTAACGCATCTGCTAGCAACAACGCTGGTATGCTCGGTATCACGGTTGGCTCCAACAAGTCCTTGATTGGTGAGGGCACAAGCGGTGTTATTAAGGGCCGTGGTCTGCGCATTGTCAACGGTGTTGAGAATATCATCGTCCAGTACGTTCGGTCCCTCAAAACCTTGGTTGGAATACACACTAACTGGTTTACCACAGGAATATCGCTGTCACGGACATCAACCCCCAGTACGTATGGGGTGGTGATGCTATCACCATCAACCAAGCCGACCTGGTCTGGCTCGACCACATCACCGTACGTTGCTCTCACCTTCCCAGCGATCCACATTGACTGACTTATCATCCAGACTGCTCGGATTGGTCGTCAGCACTACGTCCTGGGTACTGAAGCTGACAACCGTGTCTCTATCACCAACAACTACATCAATGGTGAATCCGACTGGTCTGCCACCTGCGACGGCCACCACTACTGGAACGTGTACCTTGATGGCTCCAGTGACAAGGTTACCTTTAAGGGCAACTACCTCTACAAGACTAGTGGTCGTGCACCCAAGGTCCAGGGCGATACCTACCTTCACGCTGTCAACAACTACTGGGACGACAACTCCGGGCACGCCTTCGAGATTGGCTCTGGCGGCTACGTCATTGCGGAGGGTAACTACTTCGCTAACGTGGATACTGTTCTCGAGGAATCATCCTTCCAGGGTGCCCTCTTCTCCTCCGACAGCGCCTCGAGCACCTGCGAGCCCTACATCGGTCGCTCCTGTGTCGCCAACGCCAACGGTGGCACACTGTCGGGCTCCTCCACCAATGTTCTGTCGAACTTGAAGGGCGAGACTCTCGCCACTGCCGCTGGTGCTAGCACTGACCCTGCTGGCAGCGCCGGTCAGGGTAACCTGTAAGCAGTTTCGTGATGTAGGTTGGGGCATTCGTCAAATTTCTTAGAAGGCAATTGCGGCAACTGCTTCCCTATGTATGTGCGCTATAGTCTTAGTAAATTTCCTATCTCAGCCTAATCAATAACATTCATGAAACAGATTTACTTTCGTAATTCGACACCTAGCAATGTAGTCATCGAATGGACAATATTTTTGATGCAACAATTCTTTTTTAAAGCACTATCATCCATAAAGCAAATGGGGCCCAGGTAGTCGGTCATAAAAATTACAGACCCTTGGTCGCAACCAGCATCCACCACGCGGATTGACAAAGACCGAAGAACATGAACGGCGCTAAGGAAACAGGCATCGAATTGAATATTCATCCAGCCCGAGATGTGGTACTGATTTGAACCGGTAAGTCTCCTTCGAGTGATACGTCACGTTAGGCATCTCTCGAGTCTTGATGCAAACTGATGGAGTAGACAGAAGCGAAGAGCTGGGAATGGGGTAATTGAATGTGTGAACTCATTGTTTGGATGGGGTCGACAGAAGTCCCGCCAGTTGTTTGGTCGAGTTCCCATTGCTCGATTATGATGTTCC